AACCATTTTTTAATTTGTGACCGTAAAAAATCTGTGACCAACTAATTTGGAAATCTGTGACCGTGTGACTTATAAATTTTGATATGTGACTAACTAATTTTGAAATCTGTGACCAACGAATTAAATGTGACCTACAAAATTTTTGAGCTGCGACCGTAAAATAATCTGTGACGTATAAAAATTATTATTTGTGACGGAAAAATAATATGTGACTAACTAAATAGTAAATCTGTGATCGGAATAGTCGCCTGAATAATTGCCGGAATCGGAACTATCGCCGGAACGATCGCTGGAGAAGAGTGGTGGTTGGAATGATCGCTGAAATAGTCCTTGGAGTAGGGGTGGTGCAGGTGGGGTCGGTTAAGTATATTATATTATATTAGAATTAAATATTATATTAATTTAATAATTTATTATTTCATACATTAAAAAAAAGCTGATTTTTGAATTTTCAAACTATAAACCTGATTTTTGAATTGATGTAAACTATACACCTCATTTATGAATTTTTCCCTATTTTTAATGGCTTGCTTGTGAATTTTGGGTCCGATTAGGCCTTTTTAGAAGTATCGATTTTGATCATTTATAAGCGAATCGATTTTAAATTACTATAGTAGCGACTTTAAAAAAAATTTAATTCATACTTAAGAATTTATTATCAACAGTTACTGAAAATTATTTAAAAGAATAAAATTACACACACACCCTTCAGTGAAGATTTTCAATTTATAATTTTTATATAAAAAAATTTTTATTTATAAGTCATATTTTACTTATTAGTAAAAAAATTTTATATACAATTTAATATTTAATTTAAATATTCAAATATTTACTTAAAATTTTAAGTTAGTATTTTTACTTATAAATAAATTTTACAATAACAAATTCATTTTGCCCTTTTAAATATTTTTTATATATAAGTGAGTTTTTTTTTCTTATAAGTAATTTTTTATATTTTATAAGTGAATTTTTACTTTATAAACAAATTTTATACAAAGGTAATTTTTATCTTATAAGTAAATTTTTACTTATAAATAAATTTTTTAATTATAAAGTAACTTTTTACTTATAAATTTTTTTATTAAATTTTTTTTTATTTACAGATTAGTTTTGAAACAAAATATGTTGATTGGAAATAATTACTTTACAGAGGGTAAAATTAGAAGATAATATGAAAAACAATAAAAAACCACTCATTTGATGAATTGTGAGAAACAATCAACATTATATTATATTAATTATTGGTCACAGTTTATTTCATTGGTCACGTATTATCAAATTATTGGTCACAACTTATTTCTCGATCACAAATCAAAAATTTATAGACCACAGATTAATTTTTCGGTCACAACTTAATCAATCGTGAGTCACAATTCGAATTTTAAGGTCACAAATTATGCAATTTTAAGAGTCACAGATGGCTTGTCACATGTAAACTAATCGGTCACATACCACCATCACCTCCAA